GTAAACAATGCTATCTGAAAGAAATACAGCATATTAATTAAGAACATCAGATTTGGAACAAAATAAACTTGGATTTGACTCCTGAGATGTCCATTTACTTAATAATTGTGTATGTGCAGATGGGGCCAGGCAGTTTCATGTCTCTGAACTCTAGACTCTGTATCTATAAAATATACCCAATCATACCTTCTTTTGAGTTTTGTTTTTTTTTTAGGATTAAAATGAAATAGTACATAGTAAGGCCTTGACACTGTACTTGAAGCATGTTAAAATGATACTGTCTTATCTCATTTTGCCCAACATGTAGCCACCTAGCTGCTATATCATAGATATTTAGAAGATATATACATTTGCTACCAGTGCCCCTTGATAGCAGTGCCTAATGAAGTCGAAACGTAATGGAGAGCAAATAGAACAAGTGGAGTCTTCTGAATCCTAATGCACTTTACTGATTCTAGAAGGAATAAATGAGAGGCTATGCAAAATCTCAAGTTCAGCTAAGGAATATATGTTGTTGAAGGTATGTGCTTCCATTTTTGAAGTTATTGGAGAGGGACTGAGCTAAAAACAGTTCCTTTCTAGCTCAGTCTCTCTCCAATCACCATAAAGATTCATATTCCATAGTATACAACATGTTACTTGTCAGAAAAAAAGGAACATAATCCTTCAAATGCGATCTTTGCTCACAATTTAGTCCCATATTGTCCTTATGGGACTAAATAAGAAATACTGTCTTCTTACAGACTCTCAATGTGATCTATACTCATTCCTAATCTTTGGTAAAGTTCTAAAATGGCTCTGGATCCTACTGACATCTGTTACTAAAGATAACACATGAAAGAGATAAAGATATCTATTCTCAATAAACAGAGAAAACATTGCTAAAGAAAAAGTAAGTCAACTGCAGATTTCCTTAATCTAGGTAAGAAAATGCAAATATTAGAGAGCTATGAAAAATGCTATTCAGACATAAGATGAATCTTTTTATTTCAGGTCTTTACCACTTAAGTTCAGCTCAGTCTTTGTTAAGGTCAATGAAACAGTTTGTTAAAAAAAAAAAAATGCATTTGTGATCTCTAGTATGTTCTCTTTGTTCTAGCAAAAAAAAAAAAAAAATCTAAAAACACTTGTTCATACAGCTACAAGGCTGAGGCTTTCATAGGAAATGAGATTTGAGGTCTAGACTAATTGATTTTATAGCTTCACAACTAAATTTTGTAGTTTAGCCATAGGTCAATAAATAGCAGAAGCTTAGATTAATCCTTTCCAAAGATAAAAGGAAAGGTCCATATGAATCACTTCTAAATGTCTCTCTATTGCAAATAAATGATGTTTGAGTGTGCATTTATGATAATTGTCTAAGACCTATTTAACAAGATATATTTGATACCTCATTAAAGCAACATCTACTTCCCTTGCTTGGTTACTGGTTTTTCACAGCCAGTCCAATTGGCCAATATAAAATATATTTCCATTCTGAAACCTAAGTTGCACAAGAGAAAGAACATTTTTCTTTTTCAGTAAATTTACTTCTTTATCATTAGAATTTACATTATAAACATGACATTATCCCATTTAATTATTATGTTGGTCAGGGATTATTCAGTGATGAAAAAATTTTTCCCAAACGAGGAAAACTTCATAGATATTCAGAAGTGAAAAAGAAAATACAACCAGATCTCTTAGAAATATATTGGGAACTGGAAAATCAGAAACTGAAGTTATCTTTCGTAATTCACATGATTTCTCATCTCCTTCTCATTAGTACCCTATACCTCCTAGTTTCTGGTTCAATTCATTGAGCCTGTTGTTTTCACTTAATGTGAGTAAATGTCATATAAAAGTGTGCAGGAAGATGCAACAGAATATACATTCTTCTCAGCACCATGTCGCACTTATTCTAAAACTGACCACATATTTGAAAGTTAAACACTCCCCAGCAAATACAAAAGAATGGAAATCATAATAAACAGTCTCTCAGACCACAATGCAACCAAATTAGAACTCAGGATTAGGAAACTCACTCAAAACCATACAACTACATGGAAACTGAACAACCAGTTCCTGAATGACTATTAGTAAATAATGAAATTAAGGCAGAAATAAATAAGTACATTGAAACCAATGAGAACAAAGACACCAGAAATAAGAACAAAATGAGAACAAAGACATAAGAAATGAGAACAAAATGTACCAGAATCTCTGAGACACAGCTAAAGCAGTGTTTAGAGGGAAATTTATATCACTAAATGCCCACAGGAGAAAGGAGGAAAGAAAAAAATTTGACACCCTAACACCACAATTAAAAAACTAGAGAATCAAGAGCAAACAAATTCAAAAGCCAGCAGAAGACAAGAAATAACTAAGAAAAGAGCAGAACTGAAGAAGATAGAGACACAAAAAACCCTTCAAAAAATCAATGAGTCCAGGAGTTGGTTTTTCAAAAAGATTAATAAAATAGATAGACCACTAGCCAGATTAATAAGGAAGAAAAGAGAGAAGAATCAAATAGACACATAAAAAATAAGAAAGAGGATACAACCACTGATCCCACAGAAATACAAACTACCATCAGAGAATACTAAGAAGACCTCTACACATTAAAAAAAAAAAAAAAAAAAAAAAACTAGAAAATCTAGAAGAAATAAATAAATTCCTGGACACATACACCCTCACAAGACTAAACCAGAAAAAAGTTGAATCACTGAATAGACCAAAAACAAGTCCTGAAATTGAGTCAGTAATTAATAGCCTACCAACCAAAAAAGGCCCAGGACCAGACAGATTCACAGCCAAATTCTACCAAGGGTGCAAAGAGGTGCTGGTCCTATTTCTTCTGAAACTATATCAAACAATAGAAAATGAGGAACTCCTCCCTACCTCATTTTATGAGGCCAGCATTGTCCTGATATCAAAACCTGGCAGAAACACAATAAAACAAGAACATTTCAGGCCAATATGTCTGATGAACATCAATGCAAAAATCCTCAATAAAATATTGGAAAACTGGCCGGGCACTGGTGGCTCACTCCTGTAATCCCAGCACTTTGGGAGGCCAAGGCAGGTGGATCATGAGGTGAGGAAATCAAAACCATCCTGGCTAACACAGTAAAACCCCATGTTTACTAAAAATACAAAGAATGAGCTAGGCGTGGTGGCACATGCTTGTAGTCCCAGCTACTCGGGAGGCTGAGTGAACCTCCATTCACAATTGCTACAAAGAAAATAAAATACCTAGGAATACAACTTGCAAGGGATGTGAAGGATCTCTTCCAGAACTACAGCTCATTCCTCAAGGAAATAAGGGAGGACACAAATGAAAAAACATTCCATGCTCATGGATAGAAAACCAATATCATGAAAATGACCATACTGCCCAGAGTAATTTATAGATTCAATCCTATCCCCATTAATCTACCATTGACTTTTTTCACAGAAATAGAAAAAACAATTTTAAATTTTATATAGAACCAATAAAGAGCCCATATAGCCAAAACAATCCTAAGCAAAAAGAACAAAGCTGGAGGTATCCTGCTACCTGACTGCAAACTATGCTACAATACTACAGTAACAAAAACAGCATGGTACTGATACCAAAACAGAGATATAGACCAATGGAACAGAACAGAGTCCTCTAAAATAAGGCCACACATCTACATCCATCTGATCTTTGACAAACCTGACAAAAACAAGCAGTGCAGAAAGGATACCTTGTTTAATAAATGGTGTTGGGAAAACTGGCTAGCCATATGCAGAAAACTGAAACTAGACCCCTTCCTTCCACCTTATACAAAAATTAACACAAGATGGATTAAAGACTTAAACATAAGACCTAAAATCATAAAAACCCTAAAAGAAAACCTAGGCAATACCATTCAGGTCATAGGCATGGGCAAAGACTTCATGACTAAAACACCAAAAGCAATGACAACAAAAGCCAAAATTGACAAATGGGATCTAATTAAACTAAAGAGCTTCTTAAAAAAAAAAAAACCTACAGTATGGGAGAAAATTTTTGCAATCTACCCATCTGACAAAGGGCTAATATCCAGAATCTATGAGGGACTTAAACAAATTTACAAGAGCCGGGCGCAGTGGCTCACACCTGTAATCCCAGCACTTTGGGAGGCCGAGGCGGGTGGATCACGAGGTCAAGAGATCGAGACCATCCTGGTCAACATGGTGAAACCCCATCTCTACTAAAACTACAAAAAAATAGCTGGGCATGGTGGCGCGTGCCTGTAATCCCAGCTACTCAGGAGGCTGAGGTAGGAGAATTGCCTGAACCTAGGAGGCGGATGTTGCGGTGAGCCGAGATCGCGCCATTGCACTCCAGCCTGGGTAACAAGAGTGAAACTCTGTCTCAAAAAAAAAAAAAAAAAACAAATTTACAAGAAAAAAATCAACTCCATCAAAAAGTGGGCAAAGGATATGAACAGACAGCTCAAAAGGAGACCTCTTTCTGTGGCCAAGAAACATGAAAAAAGTTCATCATCACTGGTCATTAAAGAAATGCAAATCAAAACCATATTGAAATACCATCTCATGCCAATTAGAATGGCAATCATTAAAAAGTCAGAAAACAGCAGATGCTGGAGAGGATGTGGAGAAATAGGAATGCTTTTACACTGTTGGTGAGAGCGTAAATTAGTTCAACCATTGTGGTAGACAGTGTGGCGATTCCTCAAGGACCTAGAATCAGAGCCACAACCAATACCATTTGACCCAGCAATCTCATTACTGGGTATATACCCAAAGGATTATAAATCATTCTACTATAAAGACACATGCACACATATGTTTATTGCAGCACTGTTCACAATAGCAAAGACTTGGAACCAGCCCAAACACCCATCAATGATAGACTGGATAAAGAAAATGTGGTACATATACACCATGGAATAATATGCAGCCATTAAAAAGGATGAGTTCATGTTCTTTACAGGGACATGGATGAAGCTAGAAACCATCATTCTCAGCAAAACTAACACAGGAACAGAAAACCAAACACCATATGTTTTCACTCATAAGTGGGAGTTGAACAATGAGAACACATGGACACAGGAAGGGGAACATCGCACACCAGGGTCTGTCGGGCCGTGGGGTTAGGAGAGTGATAGAATTAGAAGAAATGCCTAATGTAGATGACAGGTTGATGGGTACAAAAAACCACCATGGCACGTGTATACCTATGTAACAAACCTGCATGTTCTGCACATGTATCCCAGAACTTAAAGTATTTTTAAAAATCAATATATTATTCATCTTTTAACAGCTCTTTTTTAGAAAAAAAAAATGTCTACTTCTCTATGTGCACTATAGAGAAGATATTTTTGTATTATTTCCTAATTCTTTAATTATGCCCACTCCGGTTCTTATCATATTATCCTGTTTATTAGATCAACTATTTTAAAAATTATGTCTTGGTGTTTTGGATTGGATTTTATTTGTAGTACAGGCTTTCCCACTGAGCTCCAGACCTGAATAATTAGGTGGCTGCTTGATTCCTCCACTTGTATGTCTCAGAAGCATCCCATTTTCAACATGTCCCAAAATGTAACACAATCTGCTAGGCCTCTACAGAACATTCCACCCAAAACAACAGAATATACATTCTTCTCATCACCACATGGCACATACCCTAAAGTTGACCACATAATTGGACATAAAACAATCCTCAGCAAATGCAAAAAAAAAAAAAAAAAAAAAAACATTATACCAAAAACACTCTTGGACCACAGTGCAATAAAAAAAGAAGTCAAGACCAAAAAAAAAAAAAAAAAAATGCCCAAAACCATGTACTTACATGAAAATTAAACAACATGCTCCTGAATGACTTTTGGGTAAACATTGAAATTAAGTCAGATATCAAGAAGTTCTTTGAAACTAATGGGAATAAAGATACAACATACCAGAATATTTGGGATACAGCTAAGGCAGTGTTAAGAGGGAAGTTTATAGCACTAAATGCTCACATCAAAAAGTTAGAAAGATCTCAAATTAACAAGCTAACATCACAGCTGAAAGAATTAGAGAAGGAAGAGCAAATCAACCCCAAAGCTAGCAGCAGACAAGAAATAACAAAAATCAGAGCTAAACTGAAGGAAATTGAGATACAAAAAAAAAAAAAAAAAAAAAAAAACACATAAAAGATCAATGAATCCAGGAATTGGCATTTTGAAAAAATTACTAAGATAGATAGGCCACTAGCTATACTAATAAAGAAGAAAAGAGAACAGATCCAAATAAACACAATTAGGGGAGGTATAGCAGGGAGTGTGGGTTAGGGAAGGAATAGCTTTAGGAGAAATACCAAATGTAGATGATGGAGAAATGGATGCAGCATACCACCATGGCACACATATACCTATGTAACAAACCTGCACATTCTGTACATGTACCCCAGAACTTGAAGTATAATTTTAAAAAAGAGAAAAATGATATTACTACTTGCCCCACAGAAATAAAAATAACTATCAGAAACTACTGCAAACACCTCTACACACACACACACACACACACACACACACACGAAAACCTAGAAGATATGGATCAATCCCTGGAAACACACCCTCCCAAGACTGAGCCAGAAATTGAATCCCTGTACAGACCAATAATGAGCTCTGAAACTGAATGAGTAATAAATAGCCTACCAGGTAATAAAAGATCAGGACAAGATGGATTCACAGTATAATTCTACCAGATGTACAAAGAAGAGCTGGTACCATTCCTACTAAAACTATTCCCATAAATTGAGAACAGGGGACTCCTCCCCAACTCATTCTATGAGGCTAGCATCCTCGTGATACCAAAACCGGGCAGAGACATAGTTTAAAAAGAAAATTTCAGGCCAATATCCTTAATGAACCTTGGTGCAAAAATCCTCAATAAAATATTTATAAACAAAATGCAGCAGCACATCAAAAAGCTAATCTACCATAATCAAGTAAAATTCATACTTGGGATGCAAACTTGGTTCAATGTACACAAACCAATAAATCTAATTCATCACATGAACAGAACTAAGAAAGAAAAAAACATGATTATCTCAATAGATGCAGTAAAGGCTTTTGCTAAAATTCAGTATCTCTTCATGTTAAAAACTCTCAATTAACTAAGTACTGAAGGAACATACTTCAAGATAATAAGAGCCACCTATGACAAACCCACAAACAACAGCATACTGAATAGGGAAAAGCTGAAAGCATTCACCTGGAACACTGGCACAACATAAGAATACCCTCACTCACCACTCCTATTCAACATAGCATTGGAAGCTCTGGCCAGAACAATCAGGTAAGAGAAAGAAATAAAGCGTATTTAAATAGGAAGAGAAAAATTTAAACAATCCCTTTTTGCAGAGGACATGTTTCTGTATCTAGAAAACCACATAGTCTCAACCCAAAATCTCCTATAGATAAAAAACAACTTCAGCAATGTTGCAGAATACAAAGTCAATGTACAAAAATCACTAGCATTCTTATACACCAACAACAACCTAGCCAAGAGCCAAATCAGCAATGCAATACCATTCACAATTCCCATAAAAAGAATAAAATATCTAGGAATACAGCAAACCAGAGAGGTGAAAGATCTCTACAATGGGAATTCCAAAGTACTGCTCAAAGAAATCAGTGATGACAAATGCAAAAACTGCAAAAACATCCCATGCTCATGGACGGGAAGAATCAATATTATTAAAATGGCCATATGCCCAAAGCAATTTACAAATTCAATGCCATTCCTATCAAACTACCAGTGACATTTTTTACAGGAAAAAAAAAAACCTATTTTAAAATTTATATGGAACCAAAAGAGAGCCCAAATGGCCAAGGCAATCCTAAGCAAAAAGAACAAAACTGTAGGCATCACATTACCAAACTTCAAGCTATACTTAGGGCTACAGTAACCAAAACAGCATGGTACTGATACAAAAACAGACACGAAGACCAATGAAACAGAACAGAGAGCCCAGAAACAAGCCACATGCCTATGACCATCTGATCTTTGACAAAGCTGACAAAAACAAGCAATGGGGAAAAGACTCCCTATTAAATAAATGGTGCTTGGGTAACTGGCTAGCCATATGCAGAAGACTGAAACTGGACCCCTTCTTTATGCCATATACAAAAATACACTTAAGATAAATTTAAGACTTAAATGTAGAATCCCAAACTATAAAAACCCTGGACAACTTAGGCAATACCATCCTGGACATAGGAATGGGCAAAGATTTTATGACAAAGATGCCAAAGCAATCACAGTGAAAACAAAAATTAACAAATGGGATCTAATTAAACTTAAGAACTTCTGCACAGCAAAAGAAACTATCAACAGAAAAAAAGACAACCTAGAAAATGGGAGAAAATATTGCAAACTATGCATCTGACAAAGGTCTAATATCCAATATCTATAAGGAATTTAAACAAATTTACCAAAATAAAAAGCAAACAACCCCACTGATAAGTAGACAAAACACGTTAACAAGCACTTTTCTAAAAAAGACATACATGCAGCCAAAAAGTGTATTTTAAAAAGCTCAATATCACTGATCATTAGAGAAATGCCAATTCCTTAAAATAAATTCCTTTCTCATATTTCTATCTCTCATTCGCTATGTGTGTGTGTGTTATATGTGTAACAGGATATTAGGCATATACATGTGTATATACCAATGTATACACACACATATATGTGTATATATATGCACATATACATATGTGTGTGCATATATGTGTGTATATACATATACATGTGTGTTTATACATATATGTACATGTGTGTATACATAGATGTGTATGCATGTGTGCATGTATGTCCTATTACATATATAAATTAAATATACAACATTTAATTATTATCTCCTATTAGTTCCCTTTCTCTGGAGAACCCTCATACACCATCATAGCTAAAGTGTTATTATTCCTACATGTAATCAATATAAAAATTATTGGCCGGGCGCGGTGGCTCACACCTATAATCCTAGCACTTTGGGAGGCCGAGGCGGGTGGATCACGAGGTCAAGAGATCGAGACCATCCTGGTCAACAAGGTGAAACCTCGTCTCTACTAAAAATACAAAAATTAGCTGGGCATGATGGTGCGTGCCTGTAGTCCCAGCTACTCGGGAGGCTGAGGCAGGAGAATTGCTTGAACCCAGGAGGCGGAGGTTGCGGTGAGCCGAGATCGTGCCATTGCACTCCAGTTTGGGCAACAACAGTGAAACTCCGTCTCAAAAAAAAAAAAAATTATTAATGAGATTTTTTTTTCATAGTTTTTGAAATCTTGTTTGTATTTTGTGCTTATAGCATTTATCAATTTGGACTGGCCACATCTCAAGTGCTGGATAAGCACACGTGGCTAGTGGCCATCATATTGGGCAGTGAAAGTCTAGAGCACAGAGCAAGGTGAAGTGCAAAGAAGAACAAAAAGGAAGACAGACCAGGGTTTTAACGCCACCCTGTCACTGAGGCTCAGTGAATGCTAGCTATAATGTCTATGCTCCTAACTGGAGAGCCTCCCTGAGCCTCAGTTTCCATATACATAAATGAGGGATAATAGTACCTCCCTTAGAGAGCTGTTATAAAGATTCATTGGAAAGCCCCTCACAGAGTGCTTGGTAAAGTGTAGATGCTCAGTAAGTATCAGGCACTTTTCTTTCCCTCAGTCTTCATGTCTGTTTTCCTACCTTCCCTCTTCAAGGAAAAAGTCTGCTTATTTTATCGTTGTTTCTCCAGCTTGGCCTAGTGGTAGGTGCTCAGTAAGTGGTTGTAGAATTAATGAGTGGTCTTATCACTCATTATGAGTGGTTACTAATCGTGGAGGATATCCAACTGTTGATTTATATTTTCCTTTAATAAATCATCATTTAAAACACTTCGGCAAGAGTTTCAAGTCGTGGAGCTGTTGACATTGCAGCTAGTGGTCCAATGGAGAGATAACCCAAGGCTTAGTTTGGGAATTTGAGGGAAAAGCCTGTTAAGGGGAAGAATCACAAACAAAACAAACCAGATGAGATGAACCACAGATGTGGCAGCATCACAAACAAAACAAACCAGATGAGATGAACCACAGGCCTCTATGTCATAAGAGTACACCAAATTTTTTAATTCAGTTACTGAAGATAGATTTGAAAAGTGTTAAAGAGATGTATCCTTATGAAAGGAAAAAAATAGAAAACACATTCACCCTGGGTTACAAAAATCTAATTTAGATGAAAAGAATTTGCCCTGCAAGTGACTACATTAAAGATGTAATTCATTTGCAAAATAAAATTTCCTGGTAATATGACATACTATGATGACATCTGATGTATTAATCAGGGTTCTCTAGAGAAACAGAACCAATAGGAGATACAGAGATATGATATATTATATGGAAATGGCTCACATGAGTATAAAGCTGACAAGTCCCAAGATCTGAAGCCAGCAAGCGGGAAAACCAGGAGAGCTAATGATTCCAGTGGTAAGCCTGGCAAGTTTGAGACTCAGGGCAAGCCAATGTTTCAGTCAGAGTTCAAAGGCAGGAAAAAAAAGTCCCCTTTAAAAGGCACTCAGGCAGAAAGAGCTCCCTTTCATTCACAGGAAGGCGAGCCACTGTCCTCTTTAGGTCCTCAACTAAGCAGACCATGTGGCACCACCCACATCATGGAGGGCAATCTGCTTTACTCAGTCTATCCTGTTTCTCCTGTGTTATTTTTTTGTATTTTGGCTCATGTATCCAAAAAAAACCTCACTGATATACCCAGAATAATGTCTGATCAAATGCCTGGGTACCCCATAGCCCAGTTAAGTTGACACTTAAAATTAACCATTACACATGATAAATAGTCATGACAGATTTCTTTCAGAGCTTACTATGTCAGTAAAATTTGCTTGCAACAAATAGGTCTCCTTTTTCTCCCTACTCTGCTTCTTCTCAAGTGCATTATTTTCTTTCCCTCATCCTCATACAAGCTATTGGAGAAACACTTTGGAACGGGAACTATCATCTGCAGCACCCCACCCCATGACATGCTTTTTACCAGGTACTCATCACACTGTGTCTCCACAAGAAGCTAGGGGACAGGAGAAATCATCCAACTGGCAACAACCTTGGGAGGCCATTGGAGCACTAACTCTGTTTCTCAGCTTTGTCAGTTCAAAAACTCAATCTTGTCAGGGTGCCAAATTCAGTCAAACAGAAATTACAATTGGCAAAAACTAGATTCAAAAAACTTCTGTACAAACAAACAAAAAAACATCTTATTAATTACAACAAGAAATACAACTGCCAAGGGGGATCTCAAGCTAAAGCATCCCCTTTCTTGTAAAATCATATTGGAAGTCAAATTAGAATTGAAATATTAGGTTAGGGCAAAAGTAATTGCAAGTAATTGTGTTTTTTGCCTTTCAAAGTAATGTCAAAAACTGCAATTACTTTTGCACCAACCTAATATTGATTACTTGACTTGAATTCAGAGTAAGTGGAAGGTTGATTTAATCAAATGGTCAATGACACCAAGCCAAGAATGGCTAATGCTAGAATTTCAACAATCATCATCAGAAAGGAAAAAACTTGGAACCCAATTTTGCTAGATTTTTCTGCCATGGTGCACCTCATAGATTCTTCATTTTTTTTTTCATATGCCAGTTGAACCAACTCCCTATATTATAACACATTATTTCTTTCAAAACCATTTAACAAGTTACAAGTTGAGTCTTACTGGCCTATAAACTATTTGATCTTATTAAGATGACCCAACTCACTGCACTCAATTTCCTCAAGTTTTCAAATAAAATCTCACTGTTCTACTTTTTTTCATTACTATCCATTTAATTCTTACAACAATCCTGTTCTGGTAATCAAATGCTGATTAACAAGCTATCACAAAATATCCTTACTTAAAATAATAAGCATTTTTATTAATATCATTATTATTCTCAGCACATTCTCAATGTCATTTTCAGACCAGGTTACTGGTATAACTGACATTGGAATATTCTAACATTTTTAACCAATGTTTTGAAGCCCTCCTGACAATTCTTAGAAGAAATAACTTATCTATTCTTTACTATACATTCTTCATGTCACATTGGCTACTGCACACACGAAGACATTCTTCTTATTCCTCAACACTTATATATTCATGTCCCTCTTCTGTTCTTAGAAATGCATGGAGTAACTGCTTAACTGGTATGTTGGACTATTTCAGCTCAAAATGTTAATGAAGGTTAAAAACAGGTGATATCTGCTCTTCGAAAAGAGCATTCTTCAATGCCTTACCCCAAAGGAGTTGGTAAATTTGAAATATAATTATCAAAGCAAGGTTGATAGAAACACACTTTGGTCTGGGAAGAGGAGATTTGAAGGTGAAGAATTTATTTATTTATTTTAAAAATACTTATTGACAGGCATGGTGGCTCACCCTGTAATCCCTGCACTTTGGAGGATGAAGCAGGGTGGAATGCTTGAGCTCAGGAGTTCAAGACCAGCTTGAGCAACATAGCCAGACTCTGTCTCTACAAAAAAAAAAAGCGAGTAAGGAAAAATCAGCTCCACATGGTGGCACACATCTATAGTCCCAGCTACCCAGGAGGCTGAATGTGGCGGATCATCTGAGCCCAGAGAGGTTGAGGCTGCAGTGAGCTATGATTGCATCACTACACTCCAACCTGGGTAACAGTGATGACACCCTCAAAAAATAAATACATAAAATAAAATTTTAAAGCATATATTGACCCACAAGACATAATTATTTGTTAAGAATGACCATTTGTTCACATGTACCCCAAAACCTAAAATGCAATAAAATAAATTTTAAAAAAAAAAGACCATTTGGTGATAGGCAGCCCAAGAAAGTAAATTTACCCTTAATAGATTTTTTTTAACTTTTTTTTTTGAGACAGGATCTCACTATGTCACCCAAACCACAGTGCAGTGGCGCAATCACTACTCGCTGCAGCCTCCATCTCCCAGGCCCAAGCAATTCTCTCACCTCTCAGCCTCCCAAGAGGCTGAGACTACAGGCATGCACCATCACACCCAGCTAATTTTTGTATTTTTTGCAGAGATGGGGTTTCACCATGTTACCCAGGCTTGTCTCAAACTCCTGGGCTCAAGGGGTCTGCCCTCCTCAGCCTCCAAAAGTTCTGGGATTACAGTGTGATTCACCTCACCCAGCTAACAATTTTTAAAATCACATTAATCCTTACAAAGGTCTTATAATCCCTGCTAAAATCCCCATGCTACAAATCCAGCTTAATAAAGAATCAGACGCCATTGAGACATCTAGCCTTAGACCTCATACCTCATGATACTAATACTTTAAGGCTCTCTTAAGAGGAGATCATACAGGTCTTAAAACTTCACAGTTACTAGAATGCTGAGAACTCAGATGAAATTTTTTTCTTGTGGCTTTCTACAGAAAACCATGAAGTACAAAAATTTGCTTTTAAGCTACTGTACTCATTTATTCAACAAATATTTGTCAGGTATTGCTATGTGCCAGGAACTGAGATACAGAGAACATAGCCAGAGCAGGCGTGACCCCTGCCCTAAGAAAGCTTGCAATATGAATAAATGCACTCAGACCTGGAGTCATGCCGGGACTTTCCATGCCTTCCTTCCTTTCTTTTCTTCTTTCTTTCTTTAGCGTTATCATCAAATTGCTACTGTAGTGTAATAATTAAGAGAACACATTCTAAAATTAAAATGCTAGGGTTCATAACCTAGTTCCACTAAGAAAGATAATTTTTAAGAGTCATAAATAATAAATAACCAGAAGAAATTATAATCAATGCTCTTATGTGGAGCAGAACTCTGAAAGTAGGCACTGTTACATTCCAGAGAAACTCTCAAAGAACATTTTTTTGTTCTGATTCCAACTACATTGCTTTTCCTTAAGAAATGGCTTTTTTGTGAAATGTAGTATTTTTACTTAAGTTCCTTTTATCTGTTTCTACCCCCCAGCTTATTATTTTATAAACCAGTTGATAAATAAGTAGTTTCTTGGGGGATTATATATTACTTACACATTTTCTATGTGGTAAACATGTATGTGTATGTGCTATCTAACTACTTTGTTGGAGTGACTCCTACGGTTTGGAATTGCTGGGGCCAAGTTTACGCAAAAATCTACATTTTTCAGCAAACTCTCCATGACTAGAGTAAGTTTCCCCAGTATTTGAGAATTCTTCATTTCCTAAAGCTGTACAAACATCAGAAATCAATATTTGTAAGGATCAATAATGTAATTCATAATAAAATTACTTTCTAAGCTATTAATGTTAACTGTATCATACTCCTATAGCCTTATAACTCATTTGTACCATTCCATTTTTCTCTGTTCCTTTGATTTTCACTTTCCCTGTAATGTTATTCTCTTTGTACTGATTTCTGAAAAGTTCATTTATGATTAAAGAAGTTAATATTTTGTCTAGAATTACAAATATGCTTTTTCTCATTCATTTTACTGTGGTGTTTTAATTTTGGGTTACACAAACTTGTATATTGAAATACAATCTTGTTCTGTTTTTTAAAAAATGGCTTTTTACAATATTCTCAGATAATTCTTCAATATTTTGAAAATCATTCCATTAAACCTTGCTTTTCTCTCTACCTTGTGAACTGTTGGCCAGTGAGACATAGTTTCATTTTCACTTTTTCAAAATGATAGTATAAAAAAACAGAAGTGAAAGTATGAATCATAATATAATCAGGAGTTCATACTGAGATATCCATTTATAACTCAGAAAACCACGGGGTATTTCCAAACTGATGTCATTCATAGAAAGAATACCATGTGTTGTGGAAGAATAAGAAAAATTACCTATACCAACTGGGAAATTTAGAATACATGTGGGATATTCCCAGATAATTATTTTCATTAAAAAAAAATTTTACGAAGATCAACTATGTTTCAAATGCTTACAGTGACAGTCATTTTGGAAATTACAAACTGGATTCTGGATTATATACTTTTAAATTATGATAAGTGACACAATGGACATTGAGATTTTACTTTAGAGCACGTAATGCCATTATAACTATATAACTCAAAGTTACTTATATAACTCAAGGTTATTTATATAACTAAAGTTTTATTTTCCTTAAAGAGTTATATAAATACCAAAATAGCCATGAAATCCCATGTAGTTTTTTAACTTATAAGGAAGAATTTTTATAGAAAAAAATATGATCCCTGCTCAAATTATTAAAATTGAGCTGGACACAGTGGCTCACATCTGTAATCCCAAATGGGAGGTCAAGGCAGGCAAATCACTTGAGGCCTGGAATTCAAGACCAGCCTGGCCAACATGGTGAAACCCCATCTCTAATAAAAATACAAAAATTACCTGGGCACGTTGGCACCCACCTGTAATCCCAGCTCTGGGATAGTGCCACTCTAGCCTGGGGACAGGGTGAGATTCTGTCTCAAAAAATCATTATTAAAATTGATTACTTTTATTGTATTATTTTTGAGGGAGAGAAAACATATAAATCTCATTTTTCCAACCAAACAATTAAAAATGATTTTTTCCTCCTCTCCACTACATTAAAAATTTTTAAGAACTTAAAAATGTTATGGTATACATGGAATAAATTAATGATACTACAGAGAGGAAGCCTTTCCCAGGAAATATTCTCCTAAAGGCTGTCTATGTACATTTGTTTGGAAAACACTTTGGCTGTGTTCGTTCTGCCATATTTGCTGCTATGGTTGCTGCTCTGTCAGTTGTTTTGAGAGGTCCTAATATCCAGTTGTAAGGACAGGCCAGCTATATCTCTTTCCAATCTGAATGTCCCTTTTGCCTAATAAGCCAACAACCCTGACATGGAAGAATCAACAAAAGTCATGCCACTCACTAATCCTGGTAATACTGTGGCCTGTTGTTTGGTTTCTGAGACCTATCGATGAGCCCAGTGATAAACCCACAATGTCCTGACTTGATGCCTGCTATGAACTGCTTTGTTATCCTGAATCTTTCAGTGGGGACCCAGGTGAATCTGCCAGTAGGATGGTCTGACCCCATGTAATTTAGAAATAGATTTTGAAACGTATCAGAAAATTAGGTCTCTCCTCATTCTATACACCAACAGAAAGTCCACATGGATTAAAGAACTTAAAGACTAAAAGCAGCCCTTAACAGTATTAGGAGAAAATGCAGGAGACTATCTCATGCCATTAAAATAATAAAAGATTTATCAAAATATATAAAAGTTAAGCAATTGTAACAAATGTACCATCCTGGTGTAGGATATTGACAATGAAGGAAATTATGCCAATGCAAAGGTGGAGGTAGGTATAAGGAAAATCTATGTATCTTCTACTCTATTTTACTAAGAACCTAAAACTGCTCTTAAAAAATTGAGTGGACTTCCGTCAGGATGGACTAATGGGAACAGCTCCAAATCACAGCTCCCGACAAGAGAAACACAGAAGATAAGTGAACTCTGCATTTCCAACCAAGGTACCAGATTCATTTCAATG